GGGGGAGTGGTTCCCAGCAGTGCCCTGAGGAGCAGCTGGGAGGCTCGGGCACAAGACAGGGTCTCAGCAGGCATGGGCCTGGATCTGCCTCTCCCCTTTCTCCACCCACACTCTCCAACAAGCTGTCCAAACACAGGCCAGCCGCCTGAGGAGGTCTCCCAAGGATGGGCCCTGGGAAAGGTTGGCGACAGCAGCAGGCAGCAGGAGGAAGCAGCCTGTTTGCTTTCCTGCAACCCGGGAGCTTCCTGCCCTCGGTGTGTTTGCTTTGCTTTCTAGGGGTTGCCTGCTGCGGAGGGTTGGCCACCTGGTGGCCCTGAGCCCTGGAGCCCTGGGTGGCGCTGCATCCAGACCCAAAGAAGAATCGGGGACGCCTCAATCCCAAAATCTGCTCTTGGACTCACCAGTGCTGAAGCCAAGGACAGAGCCAGCAAAACCAGCATGTGTCGTGGCTCATGGTGTGCACACCAGGCCCCCTTTTGAGAGTCTATGCAATGCTGTTCCTTGAGTGACATACACTCAAGACCACTGTGCTAGCCCCGTGTACCACTGTGGAAATGGAGGCACAGAACATGCTGACCCCAGTCCATTTTCCCCAAAGGTACAGCCTGATCCTGAAGCTGCCTCACCTGCCAGCACCCCTGCTGAGCATCTCAGAGCAGAGGTGTGAGACCAGCACCAGACGATTGAGTCTTACCTGTGTTATAGGTGCTTGCAACAAACCCCACCTCTCGTGCAAGTCCGTATCAGAAGAGACCCGCGTCCAGTGCCCTCCATCTGTGCGCTCATTTTCCAGTGGCTTTCAGCTCCAGGCTTGTCACCTTGCTGCCCCAGGGTGGTGATGCAGCTGGGTCCTGACTGGAACTATCCCCTGCAGCTGGTTCCAGTTGCCCTCCACCTTCTGATCTCTCCATGCTTCTCTGCCTTCCTGCTTACTTGCACACATTAGCACCTCTGCCTCTGATTTCTGGTGGCAAACAGTGGCGCCGCTTCTCAAAAGTGTGTTTCTGCTGTGCATTGTATTGGAGTCCCTGGGCAGGGTGGGGCCATCCATCGGCTTGCTAATTAATCGGGCACTTCAGTTAATATCTGTGAAGGCAACTCATGAAGGCTGGAGCTCAGAAGCCTTGTATGAAAACAAGATCTGCTAGTGGGGACAGGCAAAAAGGTCATGTGATCAATCCAGAACTGGAAAGAGGAACCTATCTGTGGAACCTTGGTGGATGGTGTCTACAACCTCCAACAGAGGCAAGCTCACTCTCCAAGGGCCCTGCAGGATTATGTCCCCTGCTCTGGCTGGCTTCCCCAGAGTGTTGGTGGGGAATAAGCACAAAGGTCTAGCATCATTTGACTTGGAAGCCCCACTTCTAAGATCTGGTCATAGCACTGTGCCAAACTACATGCTTTCACAGAAAGACAATATGTGGGCATTGCCTCTGATGGTGGATAGGCAGATGACTCTCCCCAGAGGTCATGTAGAGCCTACTAAAACCAACTGGTTATCTTCACAGCATAAGCCACTGTAGACAGTTTCTCTGTGTCCTGGCAGCTCCTCCCGAATAACCACACAGAGACCTATTATTAATTATAAATGCTTGGCCAATAGCTTAGTCATGTTACTATCTAGCTCTTACAACTTAAATTAACCCACATGGTGGTACCTTCTTTCAGCATGGCATGTTAATCTTCCTTCTCTCCGAGTCTCCTTCCTCTTCACAGCATTCTCTTAGTCTGGTTTTCCTGCCTAACCTTATCCTGCCTAGCTATAGGCCAGTTAGCTTCTTTACCAGTCATAGTGACACATGTTCACAAAGTGTAAAGGAATGTTCCACAAGTCACAGTATGACAGGAGAATAAGGTGCTGTGACTTGTGCTTGCCAAGGTGAGTAGAGAGCAGCCCGAGTTCATTCACGTCGTCTGCAGCATGGATAGGTTTCTAGTCCCCACTGTCAAGTCCGGCAGCAGTCACCATCTCTGGGCATCAGAGTCTCTGAGGAATTGTGTGTATCGTCATCTCTTGCTTTAGACACTTCTGTGCATTTTTAAACCAGGGAGCACCTGCCATTAACAAGTACAAAGAATTTCTGCTCCCCTGCACCCCTGAGAGCACAGGAAGGGAAGCTGGTGTAACCTCCCCTGTTGTCCCTTCCTTGCCTGAGAAGGCTCAGTACCAGCCACCTCTGCTCCTTCCTTCCTCACGGCTAATGAAATGATTGTGTCTCTGTTATAGTTGGACATCAAAGTTGCTTGGGTAGCTAAAGCTTGGCCCTTTGTGGCTTGGTACCATTGGCTCCTTACATTTCAGCACTCAGTGAGGGGCAGAGTGAGGGGCCTCCCAGGACCCTGCAGACCCAGGCAGGTTTCTGCCACCTGGCAGCCCTCTATCCAAGGTGGCTGATGGGAAGAGTTAAATGCTCACTTCTTCTCATCCAGGCATGGGTATGACAGGTGTCTGCTCCTACCCAGCATTCCTTGTGGGAGATGCTCCTGCTGAACCATCTCCCAGCTGCACAGGGAAAGGGTACTAGGGCCCATAGGAAGTAGATCTGGTGTGGAAAAGCCCAAGCACAGTGTTCTTTGACCCTCTGCCTGTACAACCTGTATCTTCTCTGTTGCTTGTGAGCAGCCAGTAGGGCTCTGGAAAGCAATGAGGTGAATCTCAGAAATGCCAGGATGGACCAGAGTTAACTGCCTCGGACTTTCTTCTAGGAAGGGCTGGGAAGTGGCACATGGTCTCTGCTCTCTTCTGGGGTCCCATCTGGGTGTTTAGAGACTTCCCCGTCTCTAAAAGCTAGTCAACAAGCACATACAATCTGCCAGTCAGCTTGGGAAGGGCCAGGGAGACAGATGGAACTGGGTAGAAATTGAGGTATTATGTGGGGGCGGGCAGTGAGCTGGCATGGAAGGGTACCTGCCTAGAAGAATGGAGAGTGAGATGAGCATTGAGTCAAGTTGAGCCAAGCAGCTCAGGTAACCTAAGCAAGGTTCTAGAGATGCTAAGCCGGGCCACACCCTCTGAGAGCCTCTGACCACTGGGAGGAGTCTGAAAACCATTAAATCCCTTCGTGTAAATGGAAGCCAGTGCAGTGGGTGCTTTACCCACCATGTGTTCCCACCACCACACACTCCATGACACACTCCACTGTGTGTTCCCACCATGTACTCTATCCCATGTTCCCGCCATGTGCTCCCATCCCATGTTCCCACCATGTGCTCCATCCCATGTTCCCACCATGTGCTCTATCCCATGTTCCCACCATGTGCTCCATCCCATGTTCCCACAATGTGCTCCCATTCCGTGTTCCCACCATGTGCTCCCATTCCGTGTTCCCACCATGTGCTCTATCCCATGTTCCCACCATGTGCTCCATCCCATGTTCCCACCATGTGATCCCATCCCATGTTCCCACCATGTGCTCCCATCCCATGTTCCCGCCATGTGCTCCCATCCCGTGTTCCCACCATGTGCTCCCATTCCGTGTTCCCACCATGTGCTCCACCCACATACTTCACCATGTACTCCACCACCTGCCCCCACCACATGCTCCCACGGTGACACATTGCCTCACCGTAGGCCTAAAGCAGAGAGGCCAACCCCTAAGTCCTGGTGGCGCCTTCCTCCTTTTGAGTCACTCTCTTAGCTCTTCTGTCACAGTAGAGGAGGGGTGACTCAAACACCAACCTTCCCAGACCAAGAAAGGGAAGGCCTGTGATTGGAGCCCAGACGCTTAGGCTGTGAGCCGGGGCTCTGCAGAGCACACTGCTCTGTGAAACAAACACCAAGCTTCAGAAGCTCTTGGCCCTTCAGCCGAGTGCCTCCTGTCCGGGTGTGGCATCCTGACGCAGGTAGGACTGGCTCTAACCTCACATGAGAACACTCACTCAACCATGCACACATGCATGGGCACCGAGCGCCTGCTTCTGAGCAAGTACCAGGGACCACAGGGGGACAGGAAAGGCCAAGGCATGGCTCCTAAAGACAGGTTCGCAGCTTTCCCCAAGCCCTGTCTGTGGTCTGTGCCTCGGTGTGTGTGCATCTTGTACCTTAAGAATATGGCACTACCCACGCTGCTTTCAGAGAGAGGAACTCATCTTCCTGCCTTAGCCCCCAGAATGCTGGGGTTCCGGGTCTCTGTTGCCTTGGCTGACACCCAAGTATGGCTGAGGTGGTCAGTGTGTATGTGCACACGTGTGTGTGTGTGTGTGTGTGTGTGTGTGTGTGTGTGTGTGTGTGTGTGTGTTGTGGTTGCTTGTGAAGGCCTGCCTGAAGTCACATGGCTCTTGTGTGTCTGTCCTCTCCCTTTCGGTCAGTGTCTTGTGTGACTGTATGTGCGCATGCGTTGCTGAGTCTTTCTTTGCTGTCTTGCTAAGCTGGGGTGGCTACTGAGCTCGCCTACTGTCTTCAGTTCATTCTTCTGTGTCCAGGAGCGTTGCTGTGGTAACCAGTGCTGCCTGTCAGTGGAGAAGCTGTGTCTGTGGCTGTATCCATAGGCACCAGCCAGTTCCAGTATGCTGCAACCCTCAAAACAAGCCAACCTCCTGTCTTCCAGGTCCTCACCTCTGGTGCCCTCACAAGCCCTCTAGGTCCCACCAGGCATTCATTCCTAGTTACCAAATGCTTATTATCCTAAGCAGGCACTGGGCACTGGGGACCCAGCAGCAGTCTCACAGATCCCTGCTCCATAAGCCTCCCCTTTCCAGCCTGCACCATGTGTTAGTTCACTGGGTCACTGCCATCCTGTTGCAGCTTCTGCTTGACCAGTAGAGAGAGATGGGCACAGAGAGGTTAAGTGGGCTGCTGTAGAACACACAGCCAGTTTTGAACCCAGGAAATTCTTGCTGTCTATATGTCCATCAGTCTGCCTATCCATATTCCCATCCATCTATCTATCCACCCACTCATCTATTTATCCATTCATCCACTCCATCTTTCCAGTTACATGTTCATCCATCCAAACACCCAAATAAAACGATAAAATTAAAAAGACATTCAAGGAAAGAAATCAGCCATCCAGCCATGTTTATTTTCATGCTGTAACCCAGGTGGGGAACTGGATATGACCTAGGCACTGAGGGGCTCCCAGCACACAGGTCACAGGGCTGTGGTCTCACAGGCATTTGAGTTTCACCAGCAGCTGTGGAGATAGAGTTCAGAGTTGCAGTCTCTTTGTGGCTCAACACAATCAAAATAGTTCCCTGCTGTCTACTTCGCACCCCACCCACAGACATGGACACCCAGCAATACCCCCTGGGACCACAGATGCTCAGGCATACAGCTCCATACACATGATCTGATCTCCCAGGCACATGGAGATACATGCAAGCACATCCACATGTGAGCACTCTGGAGGTACTTCAAAGAGCTGGCATAGGAGTGTGTAAATGTGCATGCATGCACACAGGTGGAAATGCATGTGACACACATGGAAATACCCCCAGCTTTCTTGAGGGTTTCCTGGTTGGGAGACTCGGGTGCAGCTGGGTCTGCTGCAGAGGGGCCACACCCGCCACTTTCACTGGGCCGAGGATTCTTGGCTCCCTTCTTCCCCCTCCTTCCTGACCCCTTCTCTGAGGACTACACCTCACCTGTAGGCACACAGGCTGGCTGGGCTGTGCTGGTGAGGTATCAACACCCCTGAGCTGGCCTTTGCCTGATGATGAGTGCCAGGTCCTACTGATGACCACAAAATGTTCAAGACACTGACTCATCCACCACTGTAGCTCATTCTGAGGTTGCCTCCTAAGATTATCGCCCAGTGACCCCATTCCAAGAACTGAGTTTAGCAAGCTAAGGCTGGGGGATGAGTCCCTCTCATTTAACACAGATCATACCCCAGCCCAGGCATCTGGGAACGACTATGGCCCCCTTGGCAAATGGAACTCCAGAACCCAGCTGTGTGAGGGTCTCCAGGGGACCTGCCCACACACCTGGCCTTGCCCTCCTGCCCCTGAGTGAGTACCAGTGTTAAGAAGAAGCACGGGCCATGGGGCATCACAGGTAGACTCCATATAAATAAAATATCCATAGAAAAATAGTCTCTTAGAAATCCTCTTATCCAGTGGTTCACTTTCCAGAGATGGAAACTGCCGGGGGTTTATGATTCCTGTCCCCTGATACATACTGTTCCCAGTGGGACTTTTCTAACAGTGAGGTTTGAATTGTGGAGGGCAAAACGATGGGGGCATGTCCTGGAGAAGAACTACTCCAGATCTGGACCAGCTTAGAGTCTGGATAGGTAGCAGCAAACAGCAAAAACAAAACAAAACAAAAAATACAAACGTGTGTGCATATATATCTATATGTGTATAAAGACCATCTTCTCTTTGTACTTAACATCTAGTGCTGCAGAAGGGTACTTGCAAAATCAACTAGTAGAAACATCTGCATAAAGAATAATTATGTACAGTTGTTCACAGCTCCCAGGCCTAGCGACAAAGTCATCCCACCAGGACCTCAAGCAGTCCACTTTGATTGCAGAAAACGGATCCCGACGAAGTGGAAGAATTCTCTTTAATTAAATAAATTAATATTATTTCTTATCAGAATAAATTGTTAAATATTGCTATGACGAGGCCCGAGGCTCCAGAGTGCCTGCCGCAGAAAACTTTGTTCCAGCTGTGGAGGGGCCTGGGCGGTGTCTGGGGGAGGGCGGCCGAGCGGCATCCGTGTGGAACAGAATGGGCGAGGCCTCTGAGAGATTCTTCCCACAGGAGTCTGCAGGAAACCCAGAATACCCCTCCCCCCTCAGCAGAAAAGACAAGGTCAGTGCTTCTGTGGTTCCCTGTGAGCATCCAGGCAGCGGCCGGCCGACAGGGAGATTGCGTCCTGCCTGCCTGCGATCCGACCTGTGACCTCCGTTCACTTGCACGTGTACATCTCGGTACGCTCACTGCACGTGTTGCACTTGACGTAGCAGCACCAGTGGAATTTGCAGTTGCACTGCCACACTCGGGCATACTGGTGTGTGTTGTAGCCACGGCCGCAGCACATGAGGTCACAGCCGCTAGCCTGAGGGGCTGTCTTATTACAGGCACGGCCCTGCGTACCCACGCTGCCTGTCACTGGGTCCTCTTCACAGTAATTGGGTGACTTCTCAATGTACACCAGGTCAGTGTCCATGGGCTTACGGTAGGACAGGGGCTTCTTGATCTTCAGGAAGGTGGGCCGCTTGTTCCGGCTGGCACGCACCGGTTCCACGTGGACGGCCTCGTTGTATTTGTCTTTGAGCACGTAGCCCAGCTCCCGGAACTGTGGCAGCGTGGTCCAGCACGTCTTAGTGGTACAGGAGCCCGACACGCCGTGGCACTTACACTCCAGCTTCATGTTCTCCTCCAGGATCTGCAGGGCCGACAGGGAAAAGCACAGAACTTATCACTGTGGCTCACGGCCAAGGGCAGGCCCAGCCCACCCTCCAGGCCCTCTCTGCCTTTGGTACAGGCAACTTGGGTCTGGAACCGGGTCCCTCTGTCTCCACAGCCTTGATGCAGTGGTCTCCCTGGGGGCGTGTGTCCTGTTTACTCTCAACCTCTTTATGCTCTGCTCTCCCAGTCTGGTGACACCAGCCCAGCTCAGTCCAAATGCACGTTGATTCTCTTTGGTCTGAGATCAGTTTTGAACTGTGTTTACAACACAGGAGGATTCAGTTTAGAAGATGGGCTTTTCAGATTCCTTGCCAAACCAGAGGCATCTATCAACACGGAGTGAGGACAAAGTTCTGCTTCAGCTGGGCTGGTCTAGGTGCTGGCCCAAAGTTGGCACAGCTGTCTATGGTGTCTTGGAGCAGCCATGGCTTAGACACTGCCCGGGACCCATGACAGTGGGTCCATGAGCTGAAGACTGGACTCCAAAGCTCTAGGGGTATAGTGGCCACCCCTGTATCCTGCAACCTGCCTCTCCCATTAGGCCTCTCCTCCTCCTCCTCTGCAGTCACTGCTGGCCTGGGGCTGTGGTGACCTTGAATGGGCCCTTAATCAGGTGACATCCAGCCCAGCTCTGCTAACTCTGCACTCTGCAAGTCTCAGAGATCTCACTGTATTCAGCATAGTCACAACTGCCCTGGCCAGGACTGGTCACCCATCGGGCAGCCAGCTGCCTCCCTAAGGCACCCACAGCAGCAAAGAAAACATGTGCAGGTCACTCCCTTTCATTCAAGCTCCCACCTCTGGAGGCCAGGCTGGATCCTGGCTTCTGAGCTTCCAGGATTCCCAGCTCCCTCCCGTGCTTCAGGTCAAAATCCCTGTAGGGACCCCTCTCCAGCACCTTCCCAGGGCTAGCCCCCAGCAGGTACTCAGAAAATGCCCAAAGGGAGTTCACCAGAAGGACATTTGAACTACTTAGCAGGTCACACCTCAGGGACTCAGGTTAAAGGAGGGTGGATAGGCATGCTAGGATCTGCCATTCATACCAACACTTCACACAGCCAAAGGGAAACCCAGGAGGGCATCAATACACATCTGGGTCTAGCCTCAGCGGGTTGGCCCTTGGAAGATGCTGAGGAGTTACTGCCCTTGCCAGATTCCATTGGACCCCATGGGAGCTTGTGCCCCTACTATCAAAAGTAGGGACATCTTGTCTGAATTCCATCAGGCCTCCAGTCCCAGGCAGTGGGCACCCTTTTAGACTGATTTCATTCTATGGATTAAGAAACCGGTTTGAGCAGTTCCATTCTGATACAGCTCATATGCCAGAAAGAATCTACCTCCTCCAGGAAGCTTCCCCTGATTATCAAGGTAGGCTCCTCCCACCTGTCAGTCCCTGACACCGTCTCCTGAGCAGTGTTGAGCCATCCACATATCGTGTTCTCCGCTAAGACCAAGCTCTTTGGGATACAGAGGAGCTCTACCCTAGTGGCCCATCTCAGGGCACTTAGAGCCAGAGGGGCAAGTACCTGGCCATTCCAACTTTGGCAGTGACACAGACGGGCGGAACCACTCCAAAAATCTCCTCAAGGCTTAGTGTCTACCTGTCTCCTACAGAGTTCAGGTCCGAATCCTCCTCTCAACCCCCTCTCCCTGAGAACCCCAACCGGGACCGTCACCAATCCACGACAACCGGCCTGGGATAGCCAAAGTGCTGACTTCTGCTTGCAAGGAGAATGGGGGGCTGTTTGGGCTCAGGTGCATTCTGTCATTCACTTGTTCGTATTGCAAAGGACACGTGTGCTGCTGGTATTGCCTCTGCTACAAGCAGGGGCGGGACAGACTGTGGGAGGCCTGGTGACATGGGACACTGGCCCTGCCTGCTCTGAGGCGCAGTCTCTTCTGTCTTTGAGCTTATGGTTCCAGAGCCAAGGTAGCCATGGAACTCACAGAAATGTGTAGCAGTATGGGCTGAAGGAATAGCAAGGAACACTTGAAGAAGGGGTGGGGGTGGGCTTCAGGAAGGCGAGAGCGGGCAGGACCCAGGGAATAAGAAGGACTGACAAGAACAGCTTTGCCTGTGCCTGTGTGGGTGGGATGCAGCCCCTGGGAGGAATGGGAAGGAGGCCCTGTGGTAGGGGGTAGAGGCTCAAGTGACAGAGCTGAGGAGCTGGCACAGTTGACTCTTCAGGGCAGGGGAGCATCTGGATCACCATGTAGACAGTCCCAAGATCACTAGGTTGGAAGGGACAGTGGCAGGGGAGCATCTCGGAGAAACACTGTGCTCTGTGCCCAGGCCAGAGATGATGGAGCTCTCATGCGGGCAGCAGCCACGGGAGGAGAGAAGAGGCAAAATGCACAGTGATTGTGAGTGAACCAGCCACAGGGCCTGGGGAGTGGAGAATCTGTGCACCGAGTCAGGAGGCCAGAAGCTGGGCTTGAGGAAGAGTGTGGGTACAGAATACAGGAAGCACATTCAGGCTGGGCCAGTGGTCAGGATGAAGGACCTCTTCGGGGCAGGGGGGCAGGGGTTGGTGCAACTGGACCCTGGCTCCCATCACCTGGCATGCCTAATGGGGGTCATGTGGAGTCCCAGGAAGAATTCTGTTCCTTCTGCAGACTAACACATGATGAGTAAATGCAGCCAGAAGAGAGGCAAACACTCAAGATCTTTATATTAAAATTGGTCGCAAAAGCACAGAATGGGAGAGACTGAGAAAGACTGAATGCTTCAATGACCGCAAGACTGCTAAAAAGCCAGCTGTCTGAGGCCGTGTTGATGGATGCCTAATGCACACACAGAGAGGATGGTCAGCCTTTGATTTCTAGCAAGGAAGAAGAGCAGCCAAGCCTGGTAGTGAGTGCACACCTGGAACACCAGCACTTGGGAAGCTGGGTTAGGAGAATTGCTACAGAATGGAGTCCTGTCTGTCAAAAGAAAGGAGAATCAGGTATAATACAGAGGGGTTCAGTGCAGCTCAGCCTAGAGAAAGCAGTGTCCAGGGTCCTTGAGTGTGGCCCACAGGCTCTGCATCCCTGTCTGGGATAGGGTAAGCAGGAAGGCTGTGTAACTGAAGGGCAGGACTTGGACCCTGGGAGGAGGTGTCTTCCTGGGCAGCAGAGCACTGCTCTGTGAGAGGCTAGCCTTCTCTCCCAACTCCCCCCTGCTGGGAAGGGGCTCCTGTGAAGGGTAAGTTACCTGTCTTGGAGTGTGTGTAACTAGCAGTTAGCTCTACAGAGGGGCTTCCTGCACCCAGTGGGTGGGGCTGCAGCTGAGATCCTTCTCTGTCTCCCAGCAGCGCCCCAAACCTGTCTAAAGCAGCAGGAAGGTTTTTCCGCACCGCCGGAGGGAAAGACATCCATCTCTTTCTGACAAGTCCTCCAGGAAGTGCCAACAATGTACCAGGTGCTGCCCAGAGCCCAGAACTCCTCAGGGTGGGGTGCTCAGGTTTGGGAAGGCCTGGGGAGAAACTTGGTTCCAGAAAATTCCTTGACTCATACATAATGCCAAGTAGATACTATCAGAGTCTGCCTGCTGGACCTGCCCCAGACCCTCACAGTGGCACAGAGGGCCTGGAGAACAGTAATGGTTTTGAGAGGAGAGAGGTTGGACATGACCTCTGGCTCCCGCTCAGCCCATGCCATAGGGCACCCATCACCAAAGTGTGGGACATGCTCCACAGCATCTCTATGTTGAACATCACCGTTTCTGTCCATGACCCCCAGCTGGGAGCCACACTGAAGCTATCTGAGCTTCCCAACATGATCAGGACTTCCTGCTTGCTGGGGTGGATCACCTCTGCCGAGCCCTCCTCAGGAATGTGGCTCTGTCTAGGAATGCACCACCCTCCAGGATCTCAGGGCTATTCATCTCCTGCACAGGTCTGGCCTACCCCAGCAGGACACTCTTTTTTGGTACTTGGTTTTCTAGGGAGGCTGGCATGACTGACCCTGGCTCCTCAGTGAGGCTTTTGCTGGCCACCAAAATGCAAGTCACCCCACTGGTCACTGTTTCCAGCTGCCAACATCCACCTCTCTAGTTCCCATCAGCCACCTCCCTTTTCCAGTTCCCACCTGTCAATGCTACTAGTTCCCACAGTCACCTCTCCAATTCCCACTAGTTATCTCCCCAGTTCCTACCAGTCTCTCTCCCCCCACCCCCAGTTCCCACCAGTTATCTCTCTCAGTTACCATCAGTCACTGCTTAGTTCCCACAACCACTCCGCCTCTGGCTCTCACCAGTCACTTCCCCTAGTTCACACCAGTCATTGGTAAGGATCAGCTGGTGACTTGACCCAGTCACAGCCAATCAGAGTCAGTCTTGGGAATTAGGTGTGAACTGAAAATATGTTGGCTGTTTCTTACCAGAGATGAACAAATGGGAAAGTGAAGCCCACAACTGTGGACAGACATCTGGCCAGCTTAGGAAGCTGAGTCTGGTACCGACTGACTAAGTAAGTGGGCTACGAAGAAGTGATGTGTGCAGCCGGTTCCTGGGAATAGTATTTGTGCCTGGGATCAAGCTGGCCCTGGATTCATTGCCACAGGACCCTTAGTTCCAGGAATTCTCCATCCTTAACCAGCTTGAGTTGTGTTAATACACTGTAAAATGTCCTGACTGCTACAGAAATCCTTCCATGTATGTGAGAGATAGGATCTGATTAAACTGTGGCCAATGCTCCTGTCTCAGTCTTTTCAGTGCTGGAATCATAGGTTTATTTATTTCTTTTAGATTGTGTATGTGTGTGTGTGTGTGTGTGTGTGTGTGTGTGTGTGTGTGTGTATGTGTGTGTAAAATAGTCTCAGGTTGATAGGGTTGGGGCCACAAACAATATGGTCTGGGTTACTAAGGACTGGTTTGCATATTAAAAAGGACTTGGGGACAGACAGGGAGGTGCCAGTGGGTAAAACCTTGCTGTAGGAGTGGAGGACAAGTTTAAATTTCCAGAACCCACATAGAACTGGGCATAGACACATGTA